CAAAACACACGTATGCAAATCAGCATTTTTGATAATTAAAGAAATATCTTACAATAAGGGACCATTCTGTTGGTTTGCATGTGTTTAGAGACTCAAGAATTTGGCTAGTCATTGTTGATAAAGGCAAATAGGAAATAATGTGAGAATACCTGATTTATTAAACGGATAGTATGGAAAATACAATGCAGGTTTTGTACCTAGTTTGAAACAATGCCTTCATTTTGAATCAAGTTTGAATGATATATTAATGACTGTTAAAATAAGCCTAAAAAATGCGTTTCAATGCTGTGGCCCAGCGCGACTGGCTCATTTCCGGAAACGAGCTTGTTCGCAGCACTAACACCCATTTTGCAGGCTAAGTATGCAGGCTTTTTACAATGAACTCAAAATGGAAGCACGGTTTCAAAATGGGTACAGAGTCATTAATGATAATTAATTGTCAAACATAGTTTATTTGAGAATATTCACCACCTAGGTCCTATAAGAATGCATTAAAGGTATGTGTGACCGCTTATACATTTCATTTGACACATGATCTTCATTAACTTTTTGCAAGGTGTCTGCTTATTAGTTGACTTATACATTTTATGGATAATCAGTAATAGAAATTTGCCAAAAGGTATAAGGAGATTTATATCCGTGTAGGCTAGTCAAGTAGTGCGCCAAATCGTTAGTTTCCACCGGTTGGCACTGTGTTTCAGTTACCGTTTTGACATAATTTGTGATGAGCCCCGGTCCCTTTCAAATTGTATCATTATTTATGTACGATCCATAAATTTGAAATGACGTTTCACATTCATCTAGTGATGGCCGATTTTCATTCTAATTATCGATTAATCGAATAACGAACCGAAAAGTAAAATATTTGTAATCGGTTATATCAACAATCAATACGAAACTAACGATTTTAAATTGGCTCACTACTTGACTAGCCTATCGGTCCCAAGCAAACGATTAACGTACCCTATTTTAGTCAAAATTCTAGTACTACGCTTTGTTTGTTTTGATTCGCTATGAAAGTTTGGCAGATACAATGAGGGGTTCGTGGATTTTCTTATATTTCGAGGGGTGCATCAATTAGCTTGGGACCGAAGAAAGTACACGAAACGAAAATCAATTATTTAATTCATGTGTTTCACTTATACATTTTTGCCAAAGCATCAGCCTTATACATTCCATAAGACAAACCACATAGCTCCTATTAGAATGCATAAAAGGTATGTGTGACCACTTATACATTTCATTTGACACATGATCTTTATTAACTTTTTGCAAGGCGTCTGCTTATTAGTTGACTTATACATTTTATGAATAATCAGCAATGGAAATTTGCCAAAAGGTATAAGGAGATTTCTATCCGTGTACCAGAGTTGAGCCAAAAAGTTGAGCACGTTTCTTCTCTATGGTTAAATATATCATAGGTTATATCATGCCGATATAAGCATTAACATCTCCAGAGGATCATCACCGATCGTTTTAAACATGTGCTGCACTCTCATTGGTGTAAAAATGGTAGCACAGCGAACAAAAAAAAATCGATTAGTTGTTAATCGAGTAATTAAAAAATGGGACACCTATGATTTTGGTGTGTTTTTTTTTGATAAAAAATGAGCGCAAAATTTCATCTCTACCGAGGGGGCAGCAAAACCATAAAATTACCTTGAATACGGGGGGTATTCATTGGATGAAAGGGACCGTGAAAGAGGACACTAAAATAGAAAGTTTTTCTTCCGACAGTTTCATCTTACTATTCATCTTTGCTATATCGTTGGGTCGAATCTAAGAGGAAGAGGTGACAATTGGCTTCTTCCTCTTTTATTTCTATCTCTATCTCTATCTTTATCTATCTCTATCTCTATCTTACGCACATGAAATCGACCAATCAGGAAGTGGTTCGCGTTTGACAGAAAAGTGGTTTTTTTTCGCCCCCGTATTGTCACCTCTTCTCTTAGGGTCGAATCTCTCATTCCTTTTTTGACAACAATAACGAGGGCAAATGAGAGGCTGAACTCAATATTAAGTAAAAAGAACTAAAATTTTGGGTAGTATTTTTTCTCCGTGTGTGATTGTTTTCTCAAGTGTTTCTTTTGCGTATAAAATGGTAATGACTGAAAATTGGAGCAATCACAAAACAGTCGAGAATCTGGTGATGAAATTCGTGAATTCGCGGTTTATGTTCAGTGAAAATTCCGTGTCACAAAATTGCTCACCCAGTTTCCTGTTTTTGCCGTTCGACGACGACGGGTTTGCGAAAGAAAAATAAGCATCGGGAATTTGCTCCCGGATGTATTGATTTGGTGAGTACGTTCCAGTTGAAGATTGTTATTATACATTTCTCGATTGCATTTTCGAGGGGACGTCCGGAAAGCTTTGAGACTTAGGTGTTGTTGCTTTTGCGGGCAAACGCGTTGGTCGCCGGTAAGGGCCAGTAAGTGCTGCCAGCAGATGAATCAAGAGGTATTCGAAACAAAATTGATAAGAAATGTCCATTCAAATCGGTTTAATACAGTTGAACAAATGTCAAAACTATATACGTGCCAGATTTGGAAATAATATTTTTGAATCTGGAAGTGTGTTTATGATACCATTATCCATTTGATAAAGGTAGAGTGAACATGCGGGGCTTATTGTAAGTAAAAGTGACCTCGGAGTGGTCGTGAATTACCAGGCATTCTGAAATGGGTCACTGGAGCTGCAATAGAGCTAACACCTTCTAACTCCCGGACTAAACCTGCTTTAATTTAAAGATAATAAGAAGCAGTTTTCTTCCATAATAACACTGCCGGACAGTGGGGGTTAGATTGTACACACACACACACACACACACACACACACACACACACACACACACACACACACACACACACACACACACACACACACACACACACACACACACACACACACACACACACACACACACACACACACACACACACACACACACACACACACACACACACACACACACACACACACACACACACACACACACACACACACACACACACACACACACACACACACACACACACACACACACACACACACACACACACACACACACACACACACACACAATCACAAAACAGTCGAGAATCTTGCTATAGCAATAAAATGATGATGACTTCGAGGATGATATCGTCCTCTTCCATCGGCTGATCATCAATAACGTTCGCGGCGGCATCTGCCATGCTGAAACCTGTGAGTTTTAAGTCCTGGCGGGGAACTGGGCCGGCGCAGCTTGAAGAATTGATTAGTGGGATATCTTGTTAATTAGATATCTTTGATTTAATGCATTACTTGCGTCGCGTCGATTTACGTGAAATATCACGTAAATAACTGATCTGTATTTAGACAATCTCAAATGTTACGTGACGTTAGTAACTTTGACCTGAATTGCACGTCATGTCCACTAAAAATGTTGGTGAAATCGACCGCATATTAACGTAAACAGATTTGGTGTATTTGTGTTTATGTGTTTGGGACTTCGATATTTCCGCAAAACGGGATTTACGTGATTTTCAGACGCAAACAAAATCAATATGGCGTCACCGAGCGTGGTGGAAGAACACCTCAAAGATTCAAAATTTTCCAGCGGCTTGCTGCAAATATTGGACGGTAATTTGATTATTTTACATTAATTGATTTATGATTATATGTCGCCTTTTTCAAGTTTTATAATTTCAGACTTGAGTCTGCACACCTCGCTGCAAACAGTTGTTAACATTTTGTCAGAAAAAAAAACTCATACACGTTTCTACCTCATAATAATCAATTAATCAATAATTTACAATTTTATGAGCAGATATAAGCATTAATTTTAACACGTGGATTTTATATCTGCCCGATAAAATTGCATAATATTGACTGCTTCTATATACACGAAACGAAAATCAATTATTTAATTCATGTGTTTCACTTATACATTTTTGCCAAAGCATCAGCCTTATACATTCCATAAGACAAACCACATATATCCTATTAGAATGCATAAAAGGTATGTGTGACCGCTTATACATTTCATTTGACACATGATCTTTATTAACTTTTTGCAAGGCGTCTGCTTATTAGTCAGCTGGGTGATATGCCGCCATGTTATTGAAACCAACATCTGAAACGTCACAATTCAAGTGTGAACTGCAAAAATGGCGTGACTGAATTGTCTTATTTTTATGAAATGAAATTATTTTCGCTTTTATGCCATATAAATGGTTGACTTTGTGGTAGAAAATCAGAAAATAATATTTTATGAGTTCTAAGTTTATTTTTCACAAAATGTAAGCAAACATATTAAGAATATCTAAAATATCAGTGACGCCTTTTTTGAAATTCTGGCTTGAATCTTCTATTTGTTTACAAATTATGAGCTGTCAGTGGGGCCCAGAATTCGCGGGCCCGCAGCGATGTTAGCTCTTTTCAAGGCAAGGCAAACAAGATAGGGATGCCACCTAGCTGTTATTAGTTGACTTATACAATTTATGAATAATCAGCAATGGAAATTTGCCAAAAGGTATAAGGAGATTTCTATCCGTGTATATATACGTTCCATTACTATCATTCAAAATTCACGTACAAATAACGTGAAAAGCATTTTAAACAAAACGGAATATCACGTAAAAGTTACCAGTTGTCCAGTAGTTTTCACTTCGATTTCACGTAAGCAGTATGTGAAAATCAGGTCTTATTTACCTGAATAATCACGTAGATAATCAAAGCTGGATTTTGATCGGCTACGTGTCATTCCGGTAAAAGTTACGTGAAAAATAGGGTGGACGAAAACCACCTATGTTTTCACGTAAATCGGACGTGAAGATTTTTCGGAGTGTGGTATCGCGTTTTTTTGGTGGAGTGACCGAGTAAGAAAAAAGCACCATGTTTCACGCATCCAGTGACGGTTCCTAAAGAGATTTCCATATAGGAGTAAAGAGTTATAAAAACTTCGTAGACGCGAATAAACAAGAGAATTTATCAGTGCCAACATTTAAAAAGGATGAAATTCCTTTTGTAAACGATGGCTTTTGCCGTCGATTTCTTGCGAATAAAAGCTCACACATGCAAATTGACGTAGAGGAATGTTTGCTCTACTAGCTGGCATCGTAATTTTGCAGGAATGTGTTTTTATTTACGATAAGTCGGCGGATGAAGTCATTGTTTACAAAAGCAGTTTCGCCTTAATGAAACGTTGGCATTGTCACAGTCGAAGCAGGCAGACTCAAAACAGAAGCGTTATTTTCCGTCCAGTGAAAAAACTGTTCCTCTCGAAGTAGCTAAAACTCCATCCGAACCATGGCCACGATCAACGATTTACCGAATGAGGTTGGTATTTATTGCCATTCTTCCACGTTCACCTCGTAACTAGTCTCCTTTGCAGATCCTGCTACTGATCTTCGAACATGTACCGAACAAAAAGGAACTCACCCATACATGCTACCGGTGGAGCGTACTGGTTGGTCATATGTTGCATCTATATATAGATCTGACCCTCGTTGATAATATTGGAAAATTCCTTAAAATGAAATTCACTCGTTCCTACCAGCACCTGACGATCATCGGTGTAATGCTAATGCGTGCGGAATTCCATTGGTCTGGCCCGTTTCTTCGTTCGAAACGAGCCCGCTACGAAATCGATCCTTATGAGATTATTCGGAAGTGTCTGGAACTGACCCGTCGACTCGAACCATACTTAAGTGAATTGAGCCTCTCGTTTGGACCGACGGCTGATCATATTTTGCCGGCTTTCTTGCCTCGTTCGAGTCCTTCCCGATTGGAAACCTTGACGATCGTTTTCAACTGCTGGTACCTTCAGCAACCGGAAGACTGGGCCATCGACCAATTGCCTTTAGTTGCCAAGGATTTCAAAATGGAGGTGGCGGAAATGCCAAAGCTTAGGAAACTTCACTACGAAGACAGACGATCCAAGGGGGACCGAATGGTTAGGCGTAAGTTTTTCGACACGATCGTTCGAAACGCCAAGGGAATTACGGATATAACATTGCAGTGCTCGCACTATGCGTGCTATCCAGACTTCCGGATTATGCGTAGCCTTTCCCAGCAGCTGCAACATGTCTCGTGCGTTATTTGGCCAATCTTCACGAAGGAATTCTTCCAGCTGACCTTCCCTCGTGCTGAAACCATGAAACTGAGGTTTGCTTATTGCACAACCGCCCCGGAGACGGCGATCCATTTTTTCGTCAATGCCGACTGTTTGACGGATTTGACGGTGGCAAACGTGCACAATTCGGAATTCTTCCGCCATGGGGTTTCCAAGTGCTCTCAGTTGGAGAAGCTGAGCATCAATGGCCGACACGAAATCGCGATGGACGGCATGCGAAGTCTCGATAAGCTGAAGGAATTGTACCTTTACTCGTCGCAACATTGTACTGAACAGAACGCGGTTCCTTGTTCCCAGACGTTGGAAAAATTGGTCCTGGATCGGTGCACTGTAGGTTTCTCGTTCTACAGCGTACTGGCGAGTAATGTGCCGTACATTACCGAACTACACATCACAGGAGACGAACTATTCGATGATGAGTGTTTGCAGGTAAGTGGGAAGTGGAATGAACTGCAAAATTGATCGATTTTCAAATAATTGATTCGAATTTTAATTTCCCCAGGCTGTCTGTACATCAATGGTCAACCTGCGTCGATTGAAGCTTACTTTGATGACCTTCGTCGAAGATCCAGTCACTGAAAGCGGTTTCCAAAACATCGAAAATCTCTGCAAACTGGAATATTTGTACCTGGAATCATGCGACAGAGGTTACTTTTCGCAGCAGGAAAATCTATGTCCAACAATGTTTACAGATTGGGTACAAAAAGTGACTGCTCCACACATCCATCTCAAGAACTTCCGCAAGGTACCTCGCATATCTGTCATTACTCAAACCCTTACTGAAACAGTTTTTCCCCTCAGTTCAACCTGCACAACTTGTTGGACTTAGTGCTGAACCCAAACCTCAAGGAACTAGTTCTCGAACATTGCGGAAATGGCATCCGCATGGCTGACGGTATGAAAAAGCTCAAGCTACTCAAAAACGACGTTCCAAATGTGTTAATTATCAGCGATGACTGGTAAGTGCGTCGATGGCTGTGAGTTTAACCGTTATTTTCATTTGTTTTTTTTTTTTCAATTATTGACCATGCAATTTTGAAAAGAAAAGCCGTGTGTAAAAAAGCTTATATGACACTATCATCGGAATCATCATTATTGTCAATATCCACATTCAATATTCAATAAGTACAGTTGAACTATATCGATTTGCTTGGAAACTAAGTCCATCAATAAAATTATAATCTGGAAGCAACGCCGATTCCTTCTCGCTTTAAATAATGGACAAGCACAAACAAAATCACAAGACACTATAATTCCATGCTTTCATTCCAGGAAGGGGAATTTTCAATTCGATAAATGATAAATCCCAATTCGTCGTATCTTATCGGTGCGGAATAGAAAAAGTATGTCGTGTTTATCGAGTGATTCACGTTTTGTTATACAATTATGGGTTTCTTTCCATTCCAGTAAAAAACACTTTTCATCGCTTATTATTATTATTATTATTATTTATTAGTGACACTTTATCACTTCTGTGACATTCGTGTCTCTTTTCATCGCTGTTTCACTAAGTTTTTAATTGATTACACTTAATTCAAAATACAAAGTTTCACTTCACAGGATGTAGGTACTGGGATGATATCTTCAATAAGATGCCAACTTCCGTCACTGAGGGACACGCATCTGCTTGGATTACCACGAAGTCGCTGGTGGTAACGGGAGGGGAGTACAACGAAAGGCCGAAATACACAAAAGGCCGAAAATGCTCGGAAAAGCGACAAAGTGGACCGGTTCGATCGCGCTCGCACCGGTCCACTTTGTCGCTTTTCTGATTCGGGCTTTTGTTAATTAGTTTTTAATAAATTAAATTAAATTATTAAAGTAACGTTACAATTATTATTATTCTGCATCTCAGAAATAAAATATAATGGAAGCTACTTAATAGTCATTCAATTTCCGTAATGAAAATTAAAAAATAAATAAAATTAGGGTAGTTTTAGTTCTATGTTTGAGTGTTTAACGACGATTTAATGACAAGATGGCGTCGTTTTTTTGTGAATGCGGACAATTCAACGAGGTGACTCAGTTGTAAGAGCAGAAAGGCTTCAGATGCTGATTGAGAGAAAGTGATAGTTTTATTTTTCCAGATGTTTGAGTATTCAATGACGATGATGACTTCGTTCAAGATGAAATTCAATACGGGAGGTATTCTCAAATCGAAAATCGTCATATGCTGCGATATTGCTATTGGTCCGTTTTGTTGATCGTTCTAGTTACACGCATTCAACTGCGTGCGCAACTCGCTACCCAATCAGAATGTTGTGTATGCGTAAATAAACCGTTCACGTCTATCACATCCACATCTCTCATTTCCTTACCCTTGTCTTACCCGCAGCTTACCACATACTGGTTTTTCCAAAAAGTCAGCAGAACACCTCTATATCTAATTTCATCTTGACTTTAATTTTTTGTGAATGCAAACCATTTAACGAGCCGAGTCAGTTGTGCGAGCAGAAAGGCTAACAGATTGTTTGGATGCGGTTTTCAACAAATTCGGTTTTTGATCAATTTTCGGCTTTCGCTTAGAATATTTTCGGCCTTCTGTACGGGTCCCGGTGGTAACATTGGTCACAGGTTACGTTGACCAGATTTTCGATGTTACACAAAAAAGTGTTTTCGATTTGTTTGCCTTTTTCATCTGATGGAATGATTCGTCCTCGCTAATCATAGGAAATTTGCTGTTGATCTTACTTGCTGTTCCTCAGCTTTGGTATTTTGATTAAGAATATTATAGAAGAGTCATTATGAAGGGTTGCCAATTCCAGATATTCATACGTCTGATCGTAACTGGTGGTTTCAATTCCCTGCGATCTCAACCTTTGGGTTGCCAGCTCTAATTCTGTGGGGTACAATAGGCGGATACAGACACCTAAATAAGCTTGAACAATCAACTAACGTCTTTTCTATGTGCGAGCGGAATAGGAGCTTTTCATCAAACAACATCCCGAGATAAATTACTTCTGTAGACCACTCGACCCTTGAGCTGTCCATGACTACTGTGCAGGAGGGAGCTGGTTTTGGATTGGGGGATTGCCTGTGCAGGAACATAATTGTCTGGGTTTTGGCGGCATTGATTTTGATTTTCCACGTTTTCGCGTATAGTCAGCAAAGGTGTCAAGGCATCGTTAAAGATTGTTGGTGATTTCGCGAGGCAATCTGCCTTTGACGGAAATTGAAATATCATCTACGAACAGGAAGAACACGCACCCGTTACCAAGATCGGGTATATCGGAAGTGCATAAGCTGTAAAGCAAGGGGCCCAACAGACTACCTTGTGGGACGCCTGCTGGCATGGAGAACGTGTCGAAAAGACAACCACTTAACGACACCTTGAATGACATTTGCTGAAGGTAGTTACCTGGGACTAGTTACGGGTGATTTTTATTGTCAAACGCTTTTTCGACATCTAACAAGGCCATGGCTGTGGACTTGGATACAGCCTTGTTACTTCGGATGTTGTTCATCACCCGTACTAGCTGGTGCGTTGTGAAATGCCCCTTTCTGAAACCAAACTGTTTCGGTAGGAGAATATTGCTTTCCTCGACAGTCTTGAGCAAACTGTTGAGAATGAGTTTCTCGAACAATTTGCTCACCACCGGTCTGTAGCTAGACGGCGCAGTTGGATCTTTACCCGGTTTGTGAATTGGTATAATTTTCGCCATCTTCTAGATGATTGGAAAATAGTGCAGTTCCAAGCATCTGTTGAAGATAGCGGTCAAACGATTGTACACTTTCGTGCTAAGTCTCTTTAGAATTAGGTTGAAAATGTCGTCAAAGCCGGGGATCTTCATATTTTTAGAATATTTCAGCGCTGAGCAAATCTGTTCTACCATCGGTTCGCATTTGCGTCATCATTTTCGAGTCTTAGAGGTGGAACAGGTTTGGGATGAGGCTTCAGAACCTTGGCTACCTTCCAAAATGGACGTCATCCAGATTTTGGACAACACGTCCAAAACTTTCGTTTCGGAGTGAGTCCATTCTGGAAGCAATCTGCCTGTTCAGATCGGTCGTTTCACGTTTTTTGTCCAGATCTCCAGTCCTCTGAAACTGGTGTCTACGAATATTTCTCAGGCGAATCATCATTTGGGTGTGGGAATCAATGGTAGGACTTCCAGCGCCCGGTCGATGTCATCTACGGTGTCAAGCGGCGGATTTTCGTCGATGTTTCTATCCACCACACGTCCAAACTGGACCTAGTTTACGTGGTGGTAGTCCTTTCGTTGGCGACTTGGAGCAGCAGCCACTTTGATGCCGACCACAGCCACCAACTGAGCTAAGGTCGTTGTGTGCCACCGGTTTGGATATACCGATATTCGTCAGGAAGAAGTTCAGCACGGAAGGGTTGTTTGGATATTGAATAGTGTAATAACCTGCAAAACAATCATCAAACAGAATATTACCATTGGAATTGCCTTGAGTATTATTCTATTAGCGGTGTTTTGCATTAAAATTACAAATAATGAAGAATTTAGACTTATGACGGGTAAGTTTCTGAAGGTCACCCTTGAGCAAATTTTTTGTAGGTAACGCATTGGAATGGCAAATAGGCAGCTATAAACGTAAGTTGTTCAAATTTTGTTTCAACAGAAACTTCCAAAATTTCAAAAACTTTAGTTTCAAATGAAGAAAGAATTTTATGTTTGATTCGTCTATGAATAATGATGGCAATGCCACCACAGGCTCCATCAAGATGATCATTTCTATAAATGTAATAATTTGCGTTCCTTTTAACCTTATGGTCAGGTTTAGTGAACGTTTCAGTTATAACGGCAATATGCACGTTATGAACTCTCAAAAAGTTAAATAGCTCGTCTTCATTATCTTTAAGAGACCGAGCATTCCAATTTAAAATATTTAATGATTTAAAACCCATTACTGAATTTCAAAGCTATGACGATATGGTTCGCAAATTTTACTCCAGTTTGAATAACATCAAACATGGTATTAGCAACAATCAATACGAAACTAACGATTTTAAATTGGCTCACTACTTGACTAGCCTATTGGTCCCAAGCAAACGTTTAACGTACCCCATTCTAGTCGAAATTCTAGTACTACACAATGTTAGTTTCGATTCGCTATGAAAGTTTGACAGATAAAATGAGGGGTTAGTGGATTTTCCTATGTTTCGAGGGGTGAATCGATTAGCTTGAGACCGAAAAGAGTAATAGAGCTGAGTCCTGAAGTGTTTCCACTTCACTCGGACATGGAGCATAAAGCTAGCTTTTTCTAAGGCCTTAAGGTTGTTTAGTTCACTAGACTTTAAGTGAACTAAATAAAATTTATTAGAAATCCCGTTGCGTGAATCGCCAGGACGGGATTTCATTTTTCATTTTAATTACTTGGACTGACAAAACTCCAAGTAATTTTGCCAGTTCATCTTTGATCTGATCCAGGGATTCACCATTGGGCAGTCCTTTCTTGACAACCTTGCACACATTCAGTTTTGGTGTCGTAGGTAAAAAATTGATGCTACTTCTTAGTAAGATACTTGAGAAGACATTTGAATCCTGTAACGCACGCCTCGCGGCCTGCGAGATCTCGACCACCGAATACGCTTCCTGTCTCTAAAACGAGTGGCTTAAGCGCCACCTCCGAAGAGGACCACTCGTCAAGTTTAATTTGCCCGGCAAGAAACCCAACCTCAGGGCGGGTTTGTGAATGGAAGAGACCGAAATTTAGTTCAAGAGCGATTCAGCAGACTGAAATTCCATGAGAGATTGAGATCCTCACAAACAGAGGCCGCTTCCAACGGTCCTAAGCGAAAGTTGAAGTTAACCGTCGTTCTACCGTAACACAAAAACCCCATGCACATTTATCATCACTGGAGGAACTTTCCCGTTCAGATTTCCTCCCCCGATCCTGACACGTGAGTGCGGAGACTGTTTTCCCAGGCAGTCCAACCTGGAGTAAAATCAACTACAATCAAAAATACTACAAGAAGATAACGCAAAATAGAACGACCAAAACGTGAAGAATCTAACCAACAAAAATTAACATTACGGGGAAAGCTTTTACTTTACGAAAATAACATTTATTTCATGGCTAAATACCGGAAATCATTAACCTAGGTTTATTCATGACTCTTGTTCCTTTCCCATTTTTGTTCGTGTGTTTGCTAGCTCTCCCTAAACGTGTGTGCGGTATCCTGATCTGTTTCTAGCGATTGCTAGCCCAACTTACTAGTTTT